ATTTTTTTTAAACAAAGCGGCATGTGTATGACGTCATCCGCGCCCGCCGGCTACCGTTCGTTCATCCTGTCTGCTGAACTGCTGCTAGTTTTACTCACATGCCTGGAAGATGTGTAGTGCTACTACCACAGATGATCTCGCTCTCGAAATGGAATTGAACGATTCAGATTAGCTCGCCGAATGAATGGAAGGGGTGGAGCAGAGCTGCCTGTTGCCCGGGCTGCCTGTTAGGACTCCAGTCCGGCGCGCTGATGACGTCATACACACTCCGCTTTGTTTTTAAAAGATATAAATATTAAAAAAATATAACCGCAGATGTCTGGAGGACAGTGATTCGCCTACATGTTATGAATGCTGGCGTACCATAACGAATAAATTATGAACAGTTTAAGTTGTGCCTTCAACTTGTTTGCCCATAGAAAGACGTTACTTGGATATAAATTAATGGAATATCTTCAGAACAGCTCCAAATGACACAAAACTAATATGGGTGAATAGAACATGATGTAATAACGTAAAATCAAGGGCCCAATTTATTTTAAAAAAACGGTGTAACCCTTTAAACGCACATGGCATTAAACTAACTGACAGTATTCATACCCCAACAGATGGAAGATTTCAACATCATGGTGAGCAGTTTAAGCAAGACACCAATAGCAAAACAGACAGTGCTACTTTTATTTCCTATGTTAATAACTGTGTATATTTCATTATACGGTTGGTAAAAAAGAAAACACTCATATAATATGTTTCAAACCGCAATAGAGATCCTAAAAGAACGATATATTTGAGTATTTGGAATTCTGTTGTTGAGTGTACTTCATATGGGGCCCACCCAGATAATGTTGCTCACGGGCCTATTGTTGTGTTTTTACGCCATTGAATTGAATCATCAACAGACAAAAAAAGAGCAATAAACATAATATCAACCATAAAATCTGGCATTAGCTATGAAGTAAAGCCTAAACTCGTACTGTCTTCCCTACAGGTGAACACACCTTGTGGTGGAAACTTTTAGACATGTCGTTTCGTGCTGCTTTACCAACTAACTACAGAATAAGCAAATAAACTGATATGTTTGTAAATAACTAAGTCGTTTGTCGAGTCTGGTTACATTCATTAAACAAAACAAAAAAAAGAAAGAAAAAACACGACACAGACGTGGTGGAAAGCAGAGAATTCACACTTATTTAATAATCAAAAATTAATTTCAATGTTTTGTTGTTGTTTTTTTTCAGATTAATTACAAGTTATAAAAGTATTTTTTTTCCTCATTATTAAAAAATAGTTGTCAAACCTTCAGTATCTCCTCTAAGGTTTCCTTTGTGACCCGGTTAGTCCTCAGCAGGTTTTCCTTCTGCTGGATAAATCTGTCTCTGGCCGCTTCCCAGTTTGGCTCTTCGAGGATCTGAAAGATCGCGGCTCCGATCGAGAGGTAGAAAATGATGCACGAAGTTAAAAAAGGACCTTTGTCTGCCATATTAAAGCCATAACTTTCTCCTTGGCGAACAGCGGCGCATTCCTGCAGGGAGCAGCAGTTGATCTGCCCTCCTTTCTTCCTGGTTTTTCCATCAGGGCTTGGCAGAGCCAGTCCTCTAACACTTTAATTTAAAAAAAGAGTCACATCACAGCTGGTTACCTGTGAAAAATACTACTATATTAAATGTTTCTCTTTTATAAAATTTTATCAGACAGAGTTAACATGATCCCTAAATACAAAATGAGGTTTAATGATTTTATTAATAGGGAAGCAACAATTTAAAAGTGAAACATATTCAAAACAGTAACACTTCCCTAAACATAACAGGTGACATAAAGTATATTATTTCAAATTACTGTAAAGCGTGTTGTAAAGAGTTTGGTCACACTGCTGGATTTGGAGCATGAACATGTTCAAAGAATTACTTGAAACAGTTAGATCAAATTTGTGACTTTTTCTAAGTCAGTACTGTTTTTTTGTTAGGTTTTTTTTTTTTCAATGTCATTACAAAGGATCCAGCTAATGACAGATCATTTAAATCAATCTACACTCACATTACTGTAAACTGTGCACAGTATTGTTAAAACACTTTACAGTACAGTACAGTATTTGTTTTTGTTTTTTTTACTCTTCACTATTATGTTATTCTTGGAAAACTTTTTTATTTTCCTAAAACACTTCTTATACCCTTCCACACTTGTGTGACCATTTTTTTCTATAATCTTTTTGCTGCTGTAAACACCCACATTTCCCCATTGAGGGACAATAAAGGGATTTTCTATTCTATTCTATACTTAGGACCTTTTTAAGTATATTTACCAACTTTCTGCGGACCATAAGGCATTGTGGAATTTAGTGGTATGATGTGAATATACTTACAGTTAAGATTAGGAATATATTGGTAATGTTTAGGGTTAGGGGGAAATCAATAACTAAAATGAATGTAAAATTGAAATACCAACTTGTTTTTTTTTTCAATTTTCATACATGAAAATGTGAAAACTGCAGTTTGTAATTGCTCTATTTATCAGTTTATTTGATAAAATCTTGTCTGATGATATGAAACTAAGAAGTGTCATTCTAATTAACTCCTTTTTGAACATGGATGATAAAAATTATGTATGTATGAAGTAACAATATTGGTTCAGGAGTCTAACTAAAGAAAATGTCTAACTTCTAAATGTAAGTTCTTCAACAGAATATGTTCATAAATGAATACAAATTTACTTTTGATTATATTGTTTTAAGTAAATAAAAAGTAATGCCATTGATTAAAACTGTGGGTCATGTTAAATTTAAAAAAGAAGCGTTTCCTGCAAAGACCCTGGGTGGTAAAAGAGAAACCTGTTTAAATGCTTTTAAAATAAAAATTGAAGGGGGGTTTGTAATATGTTCTTAAACAACTAACCGGCCATTAAGGCTGACCTGCCGGACCAGTCTGGACTGGTTTGAGCTTCCACCGCATGATGAATTTAGCATCTACTGAAGGAGTGAATAGAAGCTACTGACAGGGAGGCAGAAAAGGGTTAAATGCTGCAAAGCTGGAAAGGTTTTTATGTGGAAACAAAAACAAGGGTGGAGCTTCACTTCAGCTTTATTTACACAACACTTTTAAAACACAAAGTACTGCACAAAGCAGCTAAAACAAGGTAGAACATAACTATAAATATCGCATTAGTGTTCAGCGTAAACTGATGTGAAAAAGAAAGGTTTGGAGTTCTGTTTTAAAATAAGAGAGGGTGCTGATGGGTGTTGACATGCTGTGCCCAGATGGTAGAAGAAAAAAGCCACGTCTTGAAAATTCTGTGAAACAGCAGATCTTGATTCTGAGAATGAAGGAAGCCGGAGAGCAACAAAGAGACAGGATGTGGTTTGCCCATTATTAACTTACAGTGGGGTAAAACATTTGGACCACTGGTGCATTTTTACATTTGCTCACCTACAAAAACAAAGACTTGTAATTATTCCTTAGTTATGGAAAAATACATATTAAGAAAATAAACACATTCCCAAAAAAAATGACTAATGTGTGTGTCACAGAGCCTTATAAAAGTGCCCATGAATGTTTTCCACCCTGTTGAGTTAAGAACAAGTTTGAACGTGCTGCTTCAGGAAACCCCTTAGAGCATTGGCCTAATCACCCTATGAAGGATACTGGGAAAACAAAACTGTTAAGGTATTTTTATATTTAAGATTGCTTTGTTCTTTCTTGTGCTGAGAGTAGACACATTTATTATGGTATTCATGTTTAACAGAAATACAGAAATTGTTTAAAACATGCCAATAGACCTACATTTCTAAATGCATTTCTATGTTTTTTTCTCTATGTTAAACACAAACATAACTAGCTAGTACAGTCATGTTGCTATTAGCAATATGTTTGTTATTCAAGAGAGTTTTTCATATTTTTGTGTTCAGCCACACAGAAGTCAGCAGTGAGAGTAGTTAGTCACACTGGGTGGATCTTGGCTGCTCTGTGTGATAATGAAGGGAGGCGTTGTCTGAATTACAGACATGCCGTCGACTGGATTGCAAAGCTAAAGAAATGGTTATTGTTGCTGGAGTTCAGAAAATGTGTCCAATTCATTAAAACTAAAAAATGACTTAAACCTGTAAATAATATTTTCTCTCAAGTTAAATAAATATGTTTCCTTCTTCCCTGTGAACACTTTATCATTATAAATGTGCAAAAAATAGATGAGCACGGTTTGGAGTCAGGTGTGTCTGACTGACCCACTGGGACAGAGGCACTGGGTTGATGCAAAGCTGAGACAGATGTTCCCTGTGCATCAGATGCTGAACTGAGATTTGCTTTGCCTATTTGGGATTTCACATTACAGAAATAAAAAAAATATATATTCAAAATGCTTTGCCATATTCTTTCATCGTACATCTGAAAAAAAGAACAACAGCAGGGCTCTGGTCAGTATTATAGCAGGACATAGTGAAACGTTTCTTCCTTTTAGTGCAGACTTTCTCTTCATTGTTATCTTCTGCTCTGAATGGTGGGACTGGGGGAAGAAAAATAATTTCAGGCAATCGGATAGTTTTCTTACATTTTGTAACACGAATTCCCTTTATGAAATCATAAAGACATATAAATGCTTTAGATTTTGCTTGTAATTGATTAAAGTATGTGAACATTATACAGTAAAGGGTGTGAAATTGGTTAAATAGAGTTTAGGTGAATTTGATTGAAACAGTTCTTGTTTGTACTCTTTTAGCAGTGATTTTAGGTAACTTTTGTAGCAGATAACAGCTATATTTATTAAAGGCCAAAATAAAAGAGAGATTCTGGCTCCCAAAAGCTGGGCCATAGATCTGTTTGAGTCAGGTTTGCATTAAGCCACTTTTAAAAGCTATACATATATATACATATATATTTATATATATGTGAGTATATTTGTTTTTGACACTCAAAAGCATGGCCAGCACAATACTAGTGCAGTAACCAGTAACTGTCTCAGCTGTTTTGGACCTCCTAGTGGATAGAGGGTCTCATTCAAACGTTCCAAAACAAGCTGCACCTATGCAAATTACAACATTAACATTTATTTTAACAGAGCTTTTGTCTGAGTTTTTCAAGAACATTTACCTTTTTTTTTTAATCAAATGTAAAAAAAAAAAAAAAAAAAAAAAAAAAGCTTGTTTCGTTGTTAAATGTTCAATTGTATGCTTTGTCTAATAAAGTAAACTATAGGCATATATATGATGAAATATTGTCATCAGCCCTATGGCGTATTATTTTGTTATGAAATAATTTGTTTCTGGTGATATTTTATTTTTCCAATGTGGAAGTAACAGTGTTGGCTTCACTCCTACTTCTCTCTCCGTGTGGATGCTAACCATTTAGTGAGGTCACCACATTACTCCACTTCTGGTGGTTCGGAAGGCTGAACAAAGTCAGAAACTGGTTGTAGCTGAAAAACAAATTTTCATGACAAGCAGCTAAAAACAGAACATTGGTCATTGTGCAGATTAGGTGCTAGAAAGGCCCTCTGTCTCAACTTTGAAGCAGAGATGATGACGCTCAGCCTCACATCACAGACAAAGTGTCCCTGTGTTTGCTGGAGGGAGTGGGTAATGATAGCTCTTTTTTTAAAACAGTGGTGGCTCTGGTTTTTTCCCAGGAAAAAAACAAGAGGACTAATCATACATGCATGAAGCAAACAAACAAAAACAAAAAGGCACATTGAGGATAATTTTGATGAATAAGTAGCGTTATAACATGGGCAAAATCTCAAAAGACTTGATTAGGCCTTCTAAGCTTTTAAGATTAATATAACAACATAATACTGTATTATAATGTAAACTTGTGAGTTTTCTGCTGACAAAGTTTTGCTAATTATGGTTTTTGGATGAAACCAAAGTTAACTAACAAATATTTACTTTCCTTTTTAGCATGCCAATGCTCTAACAAGACGACACATCCCAGTTGTTGTTGTAATGTGCAGAAATTATGTTGAAAAAATTGTCAAAACATTGTGACACATATCTACATAATTCTAGTGAAAAACAGATTCATAAGAGGAACAAATTGCAATAAATAAAAAGCAGCAATGAGTGCGTGCAGATTTTTGACCTAACATTTTTTTCTGAACTACCGTGGATTCAGTTTTGACTTTCACTTTTCTTGCATTCAAATATTCAGTAATCCAACTAACCTTTTAGAAACATCTCATGGCCCCTAAGGGATGGCACTTAGTGTAGAGTTAGGTCCTCTGTAGCTTAACTATAGGTTAAAAAAATATATATATATTTAAAAGTTGAACTGGGTCGTCCCCTGGGCCTCCTCCCGGTGGGACATGCCTGGAACACCTCCCGAGGGAGGCGTCCAGGGGGCATTCGAAGAGGGTGTTCTAGCCACCTCAACTGACTCCTCTCGATGTGGAGGAGAACCGGCTCCACACTGAGCCTCTCCCGAATGACCGAGCTCCTCACCCTATCTCTAAGGGAGAGC